AGTGAATCTTTTTAAAATTTGATGCAATTGAAAACACATTTTAGGAACACAAAAAAAACTCGTATCCTTGAAAAACATCCACTTTATGCTAAGTAAAATCAAAAATGAATTATTTTGCAAAGAATCAAATTTATTTTTAAACCAGAAACTTATAAGCACAAAATTATTGAAATTGTACGGTTGCAATCTAGTTCGTCTTGGGAGCATAACAAAAAGACATCAGCCTGTCGGTTTTCAAATCCATTTAGAAGTAATAAATATTTCGACCTGAGAGAGTACCACAAAGGCATCAGCCTGTCTGGTTGTATCTCAATTAAATTGAAGAAATAGATTGCTTTCATTAAAATTGGAACCATTTTAAGAAGGGATTATTTTTCCGCTTACGCTTTAATAGCACTAAACTTATCACGTTTTAATTGCTCCAAACTGGCTACACTTGCAGTCTATAGTTAGACGAAAAATTATAATATTTCAGGTCAAATATATTTTTCACTTTGAGCTTAAGACATGATATAAATCATCCGTGATACAAAAACATCCATCCAGCAAAAAAAAATCCGACATTTTCTTCGAATGTCCGAAAAATAATCATAATAATTACTATCCCGGGTTGACCAAAACTTCTTATCATACAATTTCCATATATGAGAAACTTCTTGTCATACAATTTCATGCAATTCCATTCATACAGAAAATTGTATGATAACTCTCTTCAGTGGAGAAGCAGCCGTTGGAGAATCTGCTGAGTGTTACGGGCCCTGCCTACCACATAGTCTTTTCGCTCCGATGAGCGGCTGCACTGGTTGAACAGGTATGGGCATCTCACCTAGCCGGTTCTATACTCATGAGCCAAGTCGTGGCCAGACGTTTCTCCTCGCCTCCATCTCATCAGTCGGTTTCGACCTCTCTCGGCGGTCCTGGACTCACCGAAGCCCAGCATCAACACTACTTCAGTGGGGCGATTCCCTCGACCCTCTCGTCCTAACGCATTGAGGAGCGCGACCACAAACATCGCTAGTCCCGGGTCCGCTTGTGCAAAATTACAGTCAATCAACCGCGGGTATATCTCGTCCAGGGTCGCTCCTAGACTCGCTGAGACAAATTTCATTAAGTCATTTGTGTCACCCATCGTTCTATCGTATGTGTCTTGTTGTCGTGTTCTTTTGATTCTTCAAAGTCAATAAACAAAACTGGATCAATCAAGATCTAAAAAGCAAGTCACCACTTAAAACCATCATTGCATGCCATTCCATTTCCAGGATAAAACATCATTCACATCTTTAAAAACGATTCATTGAAATTCTCTTTCGTTTTTGATCGAAAAACTAGCCCCAAGGTGGATCGTCCACCCGCGATCTTTTCAAGATAACACAATTGAGCGTTGTCACCTTTCGTACCTGGAGTGTTCCAGGCTTTCATGACATAAACATCACAAAAAACATACCCTAACAATAACATAACACATAAGCATCATATGTCCACACTATTACAAAAAAAACATAATGCCTAGTAGCTAACCTAAAACTTAATCCTAGTGCCTATAAAGTGAACTTAATAAAAACCAGTAAACGCCAAATGCAACTCCTAGCATATGCTCAGATAGCTTTTTTTATGCAAGTAAAATTTTATGTCCGTTTCCGAAAATATCACGTGCACAAGGGCATATAATTCTCTCGGATGTAGCTTTCCTCTATTGGGATCATAGACTGGTAACGAGAGAGAGGTCACTCCTCTCTCAACCAGAAAATCCCTAAGTCGAGTCAAGGCCAATACCAAGCTCTCTGGATTCGCGTGTTGCTTATCAGTGGCCTTAGTAACCAGGAAATACAAATATTTTCCTGGTATCTGTGATGCAACAGGGGGCAGCGCTATCATCCCTCCCACACCAGGCCTCTGTTTCCATAAAAACTTCGTTATTCTTACACTCTCTTTTAAAGTCGGCCGCTAGTGCTGTTTTGAAGCTCAAATCAGCCGTTATCGCTATAGCGCTTGTACGTTCCGTGAGTATGAAATCGCTGTCCGTTATGACGACATTGTTTAAATAGTGGTTTGGTAGGTCAAAATAAGATTCAAAATTTGTCCAAAAGGTGGTTTTTTAGCGTTCTCGCCCTCCGTTTCCAGTTCTCCGTTTTCTCATGCCAATTTTAGTTTTTTACTGATCAGATTTTTGGTGTGGGTGAGTCCTACCCCCACTCCCCGGACAAAAGTATCCATCGACGTCCCGTCGATTGCCCAAAATCGAGCAGATCGAGGTTGGAACCCGGAACGTATAGAGGACGATCTGGCGCGACCCAGTTGGACTCTGTATTGTCATGGCTGACGTGTTTGATGCTGTCTTTATCGACATCTTGACTCGTCAAGATTGTCTCTTCAAGCTCTGTCAGCGGATCATGGAGCCATTCGAGCACTCGCAAGTTCGTTAATTCTTGCTCATGAGTCTGCTCCAACTCTGGTTCGAACTCTACTTCTGGATCGGAGCGATAGTCGATCCAATCCTGAACCATGTCATTGGTCATTGACTAAGTCCATCTCTCGTGGCACCGCTACTTCATCCAGTCCCACAAGCGAGTCCATCATATTGCTTAAATCCATCCTGTCTATGACGAAATCCTCGCCATACGGGTTGTACTTTTTCTTGTTCCTTTCTTTCTTACTCTGGCGTGTTTCCATGGTGAAGGGAGAGTCAGGCTGTAACCCTTTGTCAATTTCTGTTTGTTCTGGGCAGTTCCAGTCTTCTTCTGCATATGGAAGAGTTTCGTCGTCAACTTCCGCTCTCTTGGTCAACTCCAGATCTAGTGGCAGATCACACTCATCTACGACCTCACTCCCGTCGTTTTTGTCACGCGTGCCTCTTTCATTCATCTCGCAGGCAGGATCCACTATCAAATAGTCTCCCTTTTGCATGTCAGCTGGGATACACCAGTCCTCTGATGAGGCATTGTGCAGTTTGATGTTTTCGTAATGAGCTGCTCGTCCGGTATTTAGTCAATAAAAATGACCTCCTTGGTGTACTTCAGTTATTTGGAATGAACCACGCCATTTGTTCAGTTTTTTTTGGTTCATTTTGGTGGAACCACCTCCTGGAACACCCAGACATAATCGCCAACCGAGTAGGTTTTTGCATCTGCAGTCCTATTATCGAATCTCCTTTTTTGTCTGATTTGCGCCTGTTGCGTGTTCCTCCTGCATAAGTCATTGAGGTCCTGCTGCCTCTAATAACATCACAAACTTATGTCTGCGGTGCTATTTTCTTTCATTTGTACTCCGGGTAGAAGATCGTTAACAGAAGAGATTTTTCGTGACCAGTTAGCATCATATGCGGACTTATTCCCGTGGTGGAATGTTCTGGGCTGTTGTAAGCGCCCATCACTTGCGGCAAGTGTCTATCCCCGTCATCCATGTAGCGTGAGCAAAAAGCTCTCAACATGGATACCAACGTGCGATTTTTCCTTTCAACTAGGCCATTCGTTTGTGGGAGATAAGTGGTCGAGTGGGCCTGTCCCACTTGCGACCTCTTCATCAACTCCTTCGTGAGATCACCCAAGAATGCTTTGCCATTGTCTGATTGGATTGTGATGGTGCAACCGTGTCTCGCTACCCACACATCTATCAAGTGATCGCACGTTTCTTCCGCTGATGCTGTCACGCAGGGGCTGCCCCTGCTTATTTCGTGAATTGATCAATCTTTACCATCACTTGATTGTAGCCCGTGGCTGTCATGCATATCTTCTGATGATCAATTTGCACCATTTCATTGAATCCTGACGACTGTATTGACTGAAGGGGGAACCGCAGTTTCATTGGGTCCTTCGCCTGTTGACACGACAAGCATACAGAGATCCACCTTTCACAAGCCTTCTTCAAACCAGGCCACTCGAACCTTTTCTGTATCCTGTTGTACAGTTTGTCCACACCTTGATGGCCCATCTGATCTTGTGAACGAAATAGCAATTTTGTCTGGTATAAATGTGGTAACACTATTGACTTATACTTGTAAAGGACCTTATCCTCTTCCTTGAGTTTACAGGTTACGATTCCGTCTTTGATGAGGTACAACAAACCTTTTCCCTTCAGATGAAATTGCTTCAAGATCTTAAAGCTGTCTTCCTTTAAATCTCCTTTCCTTTGTCAGGTGCTCCGTTCTCGATCCATCTCTTCATATTGCTCGTCAATTTAACATTTCGTTGAGCCCTTAGGAGATCTGACAGCCGGTATCTGGCTTTCAGATACGTCTTTAACACGTTTAATTGTCCGCTTATCATCTCCGGGGCATGGGCATAATCCATCAATTTGACACACAATATCTTCCTCAAAGGTGTTGCTTCCTGCACAGATGGTTTCAAGTTGGTACGGACGACCGTACCATGTGGAATTAGTCTGGTTGGTCGTTTTGACACTGCTTTCAGTTCAAGCTCATGTGCGACATCATTCACAACAGTGCCCTCCTCATTGGAGTTATATCTGTCTCTGTCCGGGTCCTGATGCATTTCCCGGTCCAAATCGCGCTGTTTCCATTCCACCAACAAGGAAGGAATCGCAATCTCCGAGACATCAGAATTGGAAGTCGTTTCCGATGCGTTCTCCCAGGACTGAGACCTCGGGTCATCACTCGAGCCGATGGATTCCACATCATTATGTTCCAATCTGTCTATGATGTTTCCTGATTGGCATGCTTCTCCTCTAGTCGTTCATAGAATTCTGTCTTTTTGCTGACTGAAGCTATCGGCATTCTGGTGCTTGTCACGGGTTCGATGCTCTATGATCATGTCGTAGATCCAACGACCAATATAACTTTGGTCCATCAAATAGGTTTCAGCCAGGCAAGAGCACGATTATCCACACGCAACTTGAAGGGAGCACTCCCGAAGTAGGCTCTGTATTTTTGCACGAAAGTGATCTCCGCGAACATTTCTTTTGGCGCACCATACTTCATTTCAGTGTCGTTCAGGACCTTACTTCCATAAGCTATTGGACGGAGAACCGTTCTCCCGTTCCACTCTTGCTCCTGGCGAAGTATGCTCGAGATTGCAACCACTGATACATCCGTGTCTAACACGAACATCCCCTATTCTGTTGGCATGCCGAGGACCGGTGCCTCGCAAAGTTGCGTTTAATGTTTTCAAATTAAACTTGAGCCTCATCAGTCCAAGTGAGTTTTTTACCCTTGTTTCTCATCAACTGCTGCGTGGGGTACATCTTATCGGCGTATCCTTTGATGAACTCTCGATAATAGTTAGCAATCGCCAAAAAGCGTGTCTGTCTTCGGTGTCTTCCAGGTCAAGACTGCTTCGACCGCTTCAGGATCCGGTCTGACTCCATGAATATCCACAAGGCGGCCCAGATACTTTAAGGAGTCTCTGAGGATTTCGCACTTGTAGGGTTTACACTTCAGACCAGCTTGTTTCATGCACGTAAACACCTCATCCAATCTCTCTATATGATCGTCTATGGTTGGTGTTGCGATCACGACATCATCGACATAACACATGATGAGGTTCCCGTATTTCTTGGTCAAGTTCGTGAGTGCCTGGGCCATCAGTCGCTTGAATGTGGCCGTCGCGTTGCACAATCCGAACGGTATCCTCTTCCACTGGAACAATTCCAGCTCACATGCGAAACCCGTTTTCTCCCGATCTTGCTTTCTGAGGGGCACTTGCCAGAACGCAGAGCCCAAATCCAACGTCGTGAAGAACTTCTTGTCCCCCAACTTGGAGAGGCTCTCATCGATGCGGGGAATCTGGTATGCGTCCTTTATCGTCACTGCGTTCATGTTACGGAAATCAAAACAAAACCTGAGTTGTCCCCTTTCTTTTTAGCCATGACCACACCACAAGCCCACGAGGACTTCGACGGCTCGATCATGTCGTACTCCATTAAGTTCTTTAGAGTTAATATCGAGTTCTTTCCTGCACGCTTCTGACTTGTGTGGTTTCATTCTCCTCTGCCCTTCCATATGATGTACCGAGCCCTCTTCTATCTCAATCTTGTGTTCTACGAAATTGCAGCAACCTATGCCGGCCTTATGCTTTGAAAAAACGAGTGCATACCCAGTTAGCACTGCCCTGAGTGAATCTAGTTCCTTATCCAATATTTTACCCTTCAGATGTTCTATCTCGAGCAGGACATGCTTATTTGCTAATAACTCTGTTTCAATTGGTCTCTCGGGAAAATTCAAACAGCTAGACAACCCATCATCTGTCTCCGACTTCATTGAAAACAATTTCTTAGAAGATTTCAATTCATTTATTATCTTCAGTATACATTACTGGTTCGCGTGCAATGGACATATGGTTACATGAAACTTTTTCAAGTTCTCCACACTCTGAAAATCTGTGTTCAGAGGCAATACGAAGTCCCTCCCCAGGATGAATTGATCGGATTCGTCCAAATTTCGCACTACCAGGAAGCTCATCCAAAGATGTCTTCCTCCAAGCTGCAGTGATATAATCGGGGTCCGTCCTGTCACATAGATTGCTCCCTGATTGGCAGCTGCCAGTCTGATGTCTGTCGGTATCGGATTCGACCTGTCGAAGCCCATGTCAGTCCAGGGGCTGACAGGCATGACGCTGACCACCGCTCTAGTGTCTAACAGTCCTTTTACGGAAAGTTGTCTGCCCTGCTCTTCCAGCACATGTGCTGCAAGATCGGCTTCGCAACCTATGTGAACTGCATCCTGTTCAAGCATGGCGTTATGTGCGGTTCGTCACGCCTTAACCTCTTCTCTACCATTGTATATCCGGCCTACTTGGTCACTCGCATCAGTCATGTGAGCCTTCGAGTAGATGTTAATGCCGTCAGAATCGGATATGGGCCATGGACTTCGATGTAATGTCCATCTACTCTCAGTAGTCTTGGACCTCCTATCGTGAGCAGCGCTCGCACTGCCCTTGAGTCCAACTTGGGATCCTTCTCCCTCAGGTAGTCCGCATAAATGTCCAGGTGTACCAAAGTAATCTCGGACGGTTCACTCAAGTTCTTGACCACCTGGTGTCCTACGACTGAAATAATGGACATCAATTTCGTGCCTTCTTTCGTCATGCCAAAGGTTTTACCCGATATAACATTTAGCTTTAATCCCTGTTTTCTGAGTTCCTGTTTGTCCTCTCCTTTTGTTGTTTTCGCCAGTCAATTTTTTTGAAGATCTGTGCTTTCTAGTACCGACCTTACCTATTGCTCAACTTCCTTCGTGGCTATCTCCTGCTGGACATTCTTTAATGCAGTCCGTGCCGCTAAGCCATAATCCACCTTGTGCGGGCCGGCCGACTCTGCCTCCAGACTCGAGGCTATCACCTCATCAGGCAAGGTCTACACTTTCTTAGTCGTAAGTGAGCTCGGTGTCGTCTCTTTTCTCCGAGACTCAGCTTCGTTCATCGGACGTGCTCGGCTGGCTTTGACGCCCGAAAGCGCCTCTTCATGGCGGGGATGTTTTGCGTCCGCCACTGATCCCAAAATTGAGTGCAATCCGACTTGAAGTGTACCTTCAAATTGCAGAAGAAGCACTTTGTGGTCCATGTCGGTATGAAAGTAACCTATCGCTTTCAGGTTCTGCTTGTAAGTAGAACAGGCGGAAACATGGTGCTCCATCGAGCCGAAATTCGCACATGACCTCCTCTTATCCATGTCTTCACGAGGTCTGTACCAACTGGAGTTCGCGCCAGTGTTTGTTCCGCTGTAGTTGCCTCACTCACGCGACTTCATACGCAAATTATCGGGCGTGGGTACCTGGTCAAGCGACAGGGTGAAGTGTGTGGCTAGCATGGTTTTGAGCTCCTCACTCTTTACTCCATCCATGAACTTCGAGGCAATCGGCAAGTTTCACTCCGATATTTTCTCATGGGGATTGCTTCTCCTTCTGAATAATTCAAGGTCGTCCAAAAACTTGTCCATGGATTCGTCATCTCTTTGACGCCTTTTTTCGAACTTCACCATAGCCCGATGCCCTTGCACACCAGAGCTGAAACGATTCAGCGAGATGTCGAATATCTTACGAGCGCTGTCTCGTTCATTGGTCCTTTTCGCAACTACACAACTTGAGGCGGTACCCTCCAGGTAGCTCGTCAATACGTTGCATTCCTGTTTCTTTGAGAGGTTCTCTTCTTCAAAGTGCAACTTCATCACCTCTATCCAAGTATCGAAGCAGCCATCTGACTCGCCCTTGTATGACTTCGGCTTTTTGAGTGTCCTACTTGACTTCTCTCCTCTCTCGGTTGACTTCGAGAGCTGGGTGATGAATGTTTCAAGAGACCTATTCAGAGTCTCAAACATCGAAGCATACATCGTTGTGTCCTGCGAGACTGTAGTCAGATCTGGCACTGATCTGACTGGTGGCACAGTGGGCAATCGTGTCTCCGGGGTGTATTCCGCCTCCGACGGGACCGGGTTTGTCCAACCTAGCCTCGATGAGGCTGCCCTGGGCCGCTCCCTATGCTTAGATTCGTAATTTGTTCTCGAACTTTGCTGGGCCCCGGCAAAGCTGCGTGCTCCGTCTCCATCATTTGCCTTGCGTGAGCGCTCCCTTGGGGCGGAACGCTTCTCCCGATTACCCCCGCTTAAGATCTCGTCAAGCCTCCGCATCATCAGGTCAGATTTGGCATCCCTCCTTTTTTCCAGGCCAGTCATCGTATGAGTAAAGATATTGTCCTAATCCTTCAGCAGTCACTCGATCTCTCTGGTCATCCTAAATTTTCTTTCCTCTGACTCCTTGGTAGCTTGAGCCAAGCTCTCGGCTAGGCATTCATCGGTGTTCCGAATCAATTGGGCCTGATCGACTCTCGCCTGTGACTTCACCTCTGTTAGCTCATCTCGCAAATTCTCTTGACCCTGGTGAGCTCTCTCTTCGACTCGATCTACTCTTTTAGTCATGTCTCGTCGCATCTCTTCAAGGCCGGTCATTATATCAGCAAACATTTCACTTATATCGCCAGCCG